CACACACAATACACAGAGAATTATGTATTATGCTAGTGGTTATGGTTACACTGCCTCGTTGGCCGAGTAAGTCGCAAGTGCGACTGCCGGGCAAGGAGTCTCAGGTTCGATTTTTGGGTCGGGCAAAGTACGGATGCTTAAATAATTTTGAGTAGTAGTAAATTGTGGACTCTCTTTTTTTTAAATAACATTGCCTCACACTTTTTCTTTGAAAACAATACATTAAAAGGTCGCGGGCGGCGCGCTTACAGCTTTTTTAAAATAACCTTATAAGCTATGTCATACGACATACGAATTAAAGTTTATATTCAAATGACAATTACATTGCTGGGTTGGAGCCGTGCTTGATAGGTGTGCGATGGACCTTTACACATTTATTCATTTAATATACATCTTACTACCCTGTACCATATGAATACTACATACATAGATACATATACATCTCTGGTACCTGATAGCACAGCCTAACTACCGGTGATTACAGGTAAGATGTTAATTACCAGCCCGCCAACTAGTTAACAGACTGTTACATACACTGTGGCATTACATTTCCTTTAATTAAGTCTTACATCTTAACTGACTATCGCTCTTATTAGCATCGATTTACGGTTCATTGTTAAATGAGTTGGTTAAGACCTATATTGACGGTATATAGTCGGATGGCTTTGTTGAACATTGTTTGTATTATTTGATTAAGGGTTGCTTTTTTGGTCATATGTAAACATCTTGAAAGATTGGTCATATTTAATACTAGCTACTTCCGCGCGGTTTCACACGCTCTGCTCAGCTCTTATTGGTCGTAGCGTGATGTTTTATAGCTTATAGCCATCCTCGATAAATGCGCTATCCAACACAAAAAGAATTATTCAAATCAGACTTGTAGTTACGGAGATTAGCGCGTTCAAACAAACAAACAAAAACAAACTCTTCCGCTTTATATAATAAGTATAAGATATAAGATAAGATTATCAAGAACTTTTCATGTAGGTACCGAAGTTATTAATTTCCTAACGAAAACAAAAACCAACCAGCTCATCAGTGTTACTCCTATCACAAAGCTAAACTTTTGACTCGTAAAACCTTTTCAAAGCAGGTCATAATATCCCTCAACAGGGATGATGACAAGTTATGAAAATTAAAAATCTAATTAGTCCGTCAGTTAGGTAATGAAAAAGTATTAGACACGTATTTTTTTATTTGTGGTCGTATAAGAAAACAATACTTAGATAAAACGAATGAAAGTTTAGGAGTGGGAGGTAGCTACGTCATTTTAGAGTATAAATCGTACCCAAAAGTGACGTCATGCGATATTTCAAATCAATACATCTTCGAAACTATTTGTTTCCGTAAGAAAATAAAAAATACGTGTCTAATGTTTTTAAATAATCTACCAGACGGACATTAACTCGTCGAGTACCGGTTTTATAGACACAATTAAAGAACAATAGGTCGCGGTCACCGGTGACCGCTTGGTGTTTGACAGTTTAAAATAAAAATTTGTGACCTACCCTATTATTAAATTTTCGAATCCATCAAGCAACAAACAAAATACATTGACCACACACTGAGCAACACTCAACTGACAAATACGTATAACAAAATTACACAAATGTGGCCAACTTTTCTTTTGACGACAGTGGAAAACTAACCCTAAACCTTAAGTAGAAAGGTTGTCTTTACCAGTTCCTCTCTAGATTAGCTACACACCAAGCAATACTAAAACTAGTATAAACTGACCGTTGTATAGGCGGGAAGGACATATAAAGCAAGACCATGATGAACTGGTATTGAATAGCTTGTGTACTTGCATCTAGTCTTGTCCATTCTGCTTCATGCATGATTCTCCGCATGATCTGTGTGTCATCTCCTTAGTTCGGGATGCTTGGAATATTCATTGACCAATTTAACTAGCGACGTTTGAGCAAGGATTGGCTTCGATGTAATATGGAGTTTATGTAGGTACTTGGTACAATGTGTTTGATTGAGTTTGGGAAGCGAATTAATGTTACTCTGTGTTGGGACAGAGGTCAGTCTTGAGGGAGAATTAAATCATAGTTTTTTATATAGCGGCTTGAAATGAATTTGATTTTTTATGGGATACGGTAATCGGATGGCCGGTAAACGAGCAGACGGATCACCTGATAGTAAGCCATCGGCGTCGCCCATGGACACCTGGAACACCAGAGGTGTTACAATTGCGTAACCGGCCTTTTAGAGATTTGAAATTTGAGGGTTGTTGGGGATTCAGGCATTGGGGAAGGGGGAGGGTTGAGGGTAATTGGACCACACTTACACGACGAAGCACAACGCAAGCGTTGTTTCACGTGGGTTTTTTGTGAGGCTGTGGTATCACTGCGGTCGAAGCGCCCCATTCGTACCGAAGCATGATTCTCCCACACTTATTGAACGATTAGGCCCTAAATCAGAAGACTTAGTTTCCGCTTTGTAACAAAGTTGTGGGTTATAATCTTACTTCTTTCTTCAATCTTATTCCGGAATCTACTGAGCGAAATCATCATTTAAGACCGCCGACCACATGAACTTGTAGAATTAGTATTTAGCCTAGAACATTTTTATCTCTTACATTACATTGATGCCCTAGTATTACTAGGAACCTAACGGGTAACCGGGGCTCCGGCTCGACGTGCAGGAGAAAGAACGGGGTGGTTTTTAGTCAGTAAGAGTCTGACACATCCCGCCTCAACCAGGCGGGAGCAGTCATTCTTAAAAAAAAAGTATTACTAGGTAATAGTGAGACAACAGCCAATTCTAAACATAATGATTTACTTAATCACGCAATCACAAATCAAACAAAAATCACTTACATATTTTAAAAACCAGTCAGTCATCTAGAAACCGCCTTCTGACCGTCAGTTAAAAGCAAGTCAAAACACACACATACACATAAACAAAGATATAACAATATAACATAACACTAAGTACCATTAAGGTTTACACAAGATCATGCCACTTGACCCTAAGAACATAACAGCTCCGAGACATCCATTCCTGTTAATTCCATTTAGTGGATGGGCATAGGTTAATAGAAATTGCCTCTGTAAGGCCCCTTTATAATTTAGCGGTAACATTACGTTATACTGGCCTAGTTACATGTGCCATATGAGCATTATTTGATGGTTAAGATAGAGATAAGAAACCAAAGTCAAGACATTTGCCTTTTTTTAATCTAATTACAGTTTTAAAAGTCGACACACTTTTACTAAATGAGGTCGTCGAAAATCTATCAGTAAGTCGTATTTTCTTTTGGCTCATTAGGTGAATGTTCATAGGTATCTTAAGATATATTGTCCAATTATATATGTGTTCATTTAAATAATTAAATTCAACGCATGTTCTTGCACCCGCTGATTACTTTCTCTGCATCACCCAAGGGTCAGACTGGTAGAAAATGCTTGCGGCATTAAGTCCACCCATGTGCTTGTTTGTGTGCATAAAGCTTTTGTTAGATTTAAAAACATAGTTGGCTTTCGGAAAATGGCTACATCATTAAATCGGACAATTCAGACTAAATGCAATCAAGTGTAAAATAAATAACTAAATAGAAATTGCAAATGATGTTTTAATACTACAAAAGTAACACATAACTCTAATAGACAACTTGACTTTTCATTTTCCTAAAGACAAAGATCATTGCGACCCTACACATTAAGGTGCCTCCAAATCTTACCTACATTCCCTAAGCCCTAACATCGGGTCCCTTAGTAGTATGACATTAATAACGATTACCTAAAGCAGTGTATGTGCACGCAGCTTTGGAAGCCACGCCAAGATTTGGATCTTGAAATATTAGCCGAATTCGGTCTAAGGGATTCTGAGGATAGTGTGAATTTCGTTTAGTATTTCTAAGGTTATTTATGTATATTTATGTGATCGGGGGAATTGGTGATAGAATTGACATAGGAATTGAAATATGGCGAAAGATATTATTATTATGGACTACATATATGTGATATCATAGACACAATTGTTTACAGCACAATAATATTGTATTGAGTGTATGTTACCTAATGCACAAATATACATGTTTAGGCTTTTCTCCTGTGTTGTGGGTGCGTTTACAAACATATAAATTCACATACATAATGACACCCAGACCCGAGACAACAATTTGTGGATCACACAAAGTGTTGTTCCGTGCGGGAATCGAACCCGCGACACGTTGCAAGACAGCCGGTTGCCCAGCCACCGCACCAACCGTGCAGTCAAGTCTTCTTATGAACATAAGGAATGACGATTATAATCATCGTCAGTAACCAGAGGCAGTCCACTACAGAAGATTAATATAGACGTGACAGCCATTCAGTGACTTGGTGAAAAACGTTTTGTTTCAGACGGTATTAAATCGTGTAAACCAGTTTATTAATAAACCACCAAAAACTAAAAATAACTAAAACACTTTAAAAACTTTAATGAAATTTGGCCACAGGCTATCCGCAAAAATTCTAACCCGCACAAAACGGCTTGTATCACATAACCATGAATCAGGTCTGAACGGTGCAAAGTTGGTATTCCGATGTAGCACCGTGAGCTATTCGGTGTGATGGGCGCCCGTTGGCACCGACCCAACTTACGACCATCGATTTACATAACTTGTACAAAAGATCAAAAATCTATTTATACTGTTTGGTGGCTTGTGACAGTTTTGCCTTGTTTTAAGTCAGCTTTTTACTGGTTTTTAGGTTCTATTATATTATTTATCGATACGTTTTCAAAAATTATTAAAGCATCACCAACATTGAAAAGCCTATTATGTTTATGATTAACTCATATTACTTATAACAGTTTAAGATTCTACAAAAGTGAATTAAAACATGACAGAAATTCAACACAATCAATAGAAATAAAGTCACTTCATAATGATTGGCATTCATCTAGAAACTTTTAAACATTAGCCACTATATGCAGCACCCCAAATCTCTTCTTACTGTTACTAACTTCATGTTTATTGTGTCATTCAATATTGTTTTCTATTGTTACAGAATCTAAAAGATCAAATTCTGACGACAAACGTGTGGTTGGAACACGTAAGTAACTTTGTATCAAATTATTTAAATACATGCAAATTGTTGACGGACTGCGATGCATGCTACCACTGCAGGGATCAAAGTGACGTCATTTGTAGGACATGTGTCCAGGAATGGGGTAACCGAAACAGGTTTACTTGAAAGCATAGAGAAATACTAAATATTACAACAAAATTCAAACCATATTGATCATTATAATTCTTATAGATCTTTTGAAACCTGAGAGATATTTCTTAGATATGCAGAATATTTATAACTAAAATCTTGAAATGAAGAAGTTTGAATAATAATTGCCGATACTCTGATATTTTTAATTATTTCTTTAATATCTAGGAATGGGAGGACCACAAGTTCAAATGGGACCCCTTGGAGTACGGGGGCGTGAAGGAGCTCTACGTACCTTCGGAACATATCTGGTTGCCTGACATAGTTCTCTATAACAAGTAAGCAAATATATCTATAATAGTAATCTTTGGAATCGCGATTAGGGGGAAACAACTTTTTCTTATAAATCTTTTTTTTATAAAACGTTGCCCCACAATAGGATTTTCTCCTATGTCGTGGGTGCGTTTACAAACATACAAGCTCACATACACATCAAACCCAGATCCGGAACAACAAATTATGGATCACACGAAGAGTTGCTCCGTGCGGGAATCGAACCCACGACACGTTACGTAGCAGCCGGTTGCCCAGCCACCGCACTAACCGTGTTGTCAAATATGGTACGGCTAACTAATACTAAAATCATAAACACCTAAATAATACCATACAAATCAAATTGCAGTCTGAGGTTTATATTCCATTAATATTGGAAAAGCAAACATCAGACAAAACACTCAGATTGAAGTTAACAATGAACTCGTCCCGATTCACCAAAACAATATAAAATTAGATTTGAGAACAGTACTCAAAACCCCCATTAGAGAACTCATAGGTACTCTAACTACACAACGAGCGACATCCGATACGCCTCGACTGCGAATACGTTTAGCAAATTAATTTCACAGCTCCGAACTTGCCCGTCCAACATTTGGACATTAGCTTGCACCAAATTGCATTGTTGTACCACCAACTTGTCTGTAGATGCCATAATTGCAAGCGGCTTTATGCCCCTCTCGTTGATTAAAATATTTCGCGTTGTTGTAATTTTGTTTTGTATGTTCTACTAATTATTTGATACAAAGTTTTTTATGAGATATAACTTACTGGAAATCGTGTTCCAATTTAAGAAAAGCCTTTTAACATAACTAGAACTACCCAAGATCTCTACACGGTAACTTAATATTCGGAACGCAACAAAAACCATGGAACCCCATAAAGTCGGCGAAGCAAGCTTCTCAAATCAGAGGATACGCTGAGATTTAACGAGTCAGTTGTTATGGACAGTACATTCCCATCTCATGATGCATGGCGTTCCCTCCTCTCAGTACTAGGAACACATAAATCATGCGGTACATGCGTTCCACTTAGATACACGGATCTTGATAGCTTCTTGCCATGCCGTTTGTTTTGCAATGGTTGTGCCAAAAATGTAATCGGGAAAGAATTGGGGTTGTGCTTAAAATTTATATAAATACTAATTACATTTGTAATGGAGAACCGAACTATAAGCAAGGATATTACTTACTCGAAAACAAGAAAATGTTTGACAACCCTTTGCCAGACAGTGGTCAAACAAGACGTTACCAGACCAGACTAAACAAAAATAGATCACGAATGTAAACATTATTTGTGTTCACAAGTCGCGACTTCTACCAAAGTAGGCAATGTATCCTTAGCCTAATTGATTGAACGAAATATCGACAAGAAAGCGTTCGCGAATGATACATCATGTGTGTCAAAACATGCCGGCAAACGATTAATCATGGGCAGCGAATGAGAGACGCACGTGCGACTAATCTTACGCTGTGTCGACCCTGTATAAGCGGCTTAAGGCTTAAGAGAATGGAGGCAATACACTTCGAGGGTTAAGCTAATAAGTAAATCTTTCATTTTTACCGTTTTGTCTGCAAGTGGCTTTTGATAGGAAGAAACTAATAAAAGGTAAGCTTTTTCCAATATACAACTGGTTTACTTTTATTTTTTGGTTCAGGTTAATAATGATGTACTTATTGGCCAGGGTATCTAGTACTAAATTTTGTGGTATTGGATTTAAAAAAATGTTATCCTTAACTGTTGCAAAATCTCGAAAACCTTACAATCTTTTGGTATGACTTACATAAAAAAATATCAACAGTTTTGTACGTTATTAAAGAAAACTACATGATGATGATGGTTAGAAGGATGTTTGTTATTCGATACTCGGCTTTAATATCAACATGAAGTCTGAAATAAAGCCTAAGTCTTTACATGGTGTATAGTAATAGGCTCACTCCTGTTATATGAACCTCCTAAATGAAGATATATTTAAATCGCATATCTCTCATGGCTTGTATCCCACCGTCTTTGAACCGTACCGTCCCTTCACGTATCAGCTGCCTTTTGATAGGTTTATGGTGGCTGTCATAAATTGGGCAACGCACTACGTTGGACCATAATATGCTATAACATATGAATATTGTGAATCTTGTGTTTATGATATACGGGTTGTGATAGGTTCCTTGTTCACTGGGGTCCAAGAAATGGTTATGGTGGTACTCAAAAGATAACGAGAAATAGCTTGATGTATTATAAACGTAACTTAAATTATTCTTGTGATTAAAAAAAGTCTTTAAAAATCAAATCGTGACATCGTCAAGGTCTAATTTGATCCACTGTTCTCTAGCTTTGTTTAAAACTAATATTTTATATAAACTGTATAACTCCAAACACACTACTTATCTAAAGTTTGAACTATCACTTTAATGTTTTAAGTCAAGAAATCAAGTACAATGGTATACCCACAATATATTTTTTGGTATTATAACCTACTATACTACCATTTAACCAAAACCATTAAAAAACTTTAGAAATACAAATGGTAATAAAATGTAGCCATTTCCAACGTTCTTTGTTGACCAGTGCCGACGGAGAGTACGTGGTGACAACAATGACGAAAGCAGTTCTGCATCACACTGGCAAAGTGCTATGGACTCCTCCAGCCATCTTCAAGTCCTCGTGTGAGATCGACGTGCGCTACTTCCCCTTTGACCAGCAAACTTGCTTCTTGAAGTTCGGGTCTTGGAGCTATGATGGTGATCAGGTATGATCTAGAAACTGACCGTAAAGAAGATAATTACTTGTTTTAATTGTTAATTAGAAGATCCAGATTTATTTTTTTAGGAAAATAGTATGGATTTTAGCTTTCTGAGTTCAACTGTGTCCGACATGAGTAGGTGGGCGAAACCACTTTAGAACATTTTGAGAATAGTTGGGAATGTTTCGTTTACACCAATATAAGTTGTATAATTAAAAGTCGCATAAAACATCAACTAGAAGTCACTAAAGTTATTCTATCGACTCTCATCTAATAAAGCGAAAACAGAGAAGGTAGAAAATGATACACATTAAGCCTAATTAAGACCAGCTTAAGTCAACCAGTGAAAGGACACACTACTTCAAACCTATAATTATATTAAGAAAAACACTTCATCCGTTATAGCGTCTATAAAAGACATTATAAGCTTCCTAATGTAAATTATCCAAACGCAATTAGTTAATTGGGATTACTTAAAATTTATGGCAGATCAAAGAAATTTAATGGAGGCCTTTTTATTTGTTTTATGCGAGAAAAGTGTATTAAATTAATTATTAATTCATTGTTGAGTTTTGGAAATAGAATCTGAAATTATGTTTTCGGGATATTTGTGATGTTTTGTTCCTTTACATTATTTATGATTCGGTCTATCTATCTGGGTTGTGTAATGTTTTTAAACCGAATATCTTCAAAGGGCCTTGTACATATTTCTCTTCATGATTACATTAATAAAAATGAACAGTGGTGTAACTTTGACAATTGAGGCATGTTTAAACAAATGGAAAGATCTATTCTTTTTTAAAAAAAATACATTCTAAAATTTCCTTTACATCTTAGAAATCTTCTATTTTTTCTGAAGCTGGCATCCTCATTTGAAAAAAACTAAAATTTGTGTCATTTTGTAAAGTTACCAAAATATAATAATGCCTTCAAATCTCCGTCGATAATCTCTTCAGTTTACCTTTTCAAAATTTCAGGTCCACCAAAAATCTCCTTTAGCATAGTTAAACATTTTCACTAACATCTGAAGTGTACTTGCAGATTGACTTGAAGCATATTAATCAGAAGAAGGGTGACATGGTGGACGTCGGCATCGACCTTCGGGAGTACTATCCTTCAGTGGAGTGGGACATCCTTGGAGTGCCAGCTGAGAGGCACGAGAGGTACTACCCTTGCTGTCAGGAACCTTATCCTGGTAAGTTGAAGAATGATGATGAAGAAGGTAATCAAAGAAGTCAATAACTACTTTAAAAAACTTCATATCCATCTTTTTCCTTTAATAATTTTATAAACTTAAATAACTTAAACAACTCTGAATAAATATATAAAACTTAAAATATACTAAAATGACCAATAAAAAAGAACTAAAAACATACAGTCAAAAATAGGCGTCAAAGAACTCGTCCGCATCACTGTCACTGGGGAACGTTCGCACAAGACTGACAATAATAAAACAAACAAATCTATTATAACTATTTACTAAAATATATTTCCCATTTAGATCTAGATTCACCTAAGTATATGTAGTGCTGTGAAATTTTAGAGACTGATTATCTAGTGCACTTTTCTAACAGTAAAATCATTTTCACAGAAAACTGAATAAACATTAATCCATTGCGCCTTATTCCTTGTTCTTTTTATTACTTTTTTGTGTTTTAATATTTTGTAACAGTTTTTCTTCCTTCTTTCTTTATCCAAACAACTTCCAAAACTAACCTCTCAATCTGTTATCAGTTGACAAAATAAAGAAAGTCCCTAAAATAAAGATCCGAAAGGATTTAACACAACAACGCACCAATATAAATCTAATCAAAGTTTACAACTAAACAAATTACTTGTTCCCAACTTGGATTGGATAATATGCTTACAAACTTGCAAATATGGGTTACCAACTCCAACTAAGAAGTGTTATTTCTCCTATGAATAGAAAGTTCTTAGAAAATATAGCAAATATTTGTATTAAATCTCGCATAGTTGATCTTTGTTCAAGTAAAGCTGTGTGTTCGGTAGTTTGTAATGTTTATTATCACTTTGATAAGACAATGGTTGCTCGTGATGTTACTTAATGAAGTAAGTTTGCTTGATTGAAATTTGAGCTACGCAATAGGCAATTAAATAGGAACGCTGAAGAGATATTATTGGTAGATAGAGTTGATTTGTTAAAGAAAAAATCGTGACATCGGGTGATGGTTTCGAAATAATTCTATAATACTTTTCAGCATCATACTAAGCAAAATATTCTTGGTGCTGTAAACAAAAATCGCATTGTTACTTTCTTATCAAAAAGTTCGCGTCTTATTTGTAGTGCATACATAGTTGCAATTGTAGAAGTTACTCTCACATGTAACCAGTTAAGGAAAAACGTACCGTTATCCTACGACATCCCTCGACCTTCATAATACACATCACAATAAAATTCATCTACAAAATCCTTGTCAGCTCCAATCAAGATCTTGGCATCCGTAACCGCAAATCTTAACTAAGACCGCGATCTTTCGGGACAATCCTTTTATTTCCGAGAGATGTCGCACAACGCTAATCTGGGAAAGTTGTAAATTACAAGTGGAACGACGAAAACTCTTATCTATGCAAAATTAGTGAGTTTTACTGCTACCATGTCGCGTTCGCCAGGTTAAATGGTTGTTTCTGTAATGTCTTCGAGTGCGGGCCTTGAATGTAGATCAGCATTTGATGCTTCCAATTTATCATGGCACTGTTGTGTACTCATTGTCTCCTGAAGGAAGATTAATAGAGTATTGGAGAATTGGAGAATTGGAGATAGGCTTTATCTAAGCTATACAAAAGGCTTAAGTCAAAAAGAAATTCTAAAGAAAATGCCACACAATGTCAACATACTATCAATCTAGTATCAACTCTGTTTCGTCTGTGTTAAGGGTGGCTTTTCATGAAATGCTCGAAATACAGGAATTTAATAGAAATGTTCAGTAATAGTGGTAGAGGTATCTAAACCTCTTTGTGCAGGAGTTAATCCGGATAACCACTAACAGTGTTCCTGGTACCGCAGTCTACAGCGTTCCGGTTTAATAAAACAGGTGTATCAAATACCGACGATAAAACAGAGAGACGAAGTATTTAGACGTTGTTTATTAGACGATCAAGAACCATATATTTACTGTTTAACATTGTCTGACCACTTCCAAAAAAAGCTAATTACTTTACATTATCCGAGTTCCTAAATTAAACGAAAGTGTTGGTATTCATTATAAAAATAATGCCATCAATCACTCGAGATTAAGCTATGATAACATACACCCACAAACTTCAAGATAAACAAACTCATTTAAAAAAAACCGCAAGTGTCAGAATCGCCGTAGATATAAAGGCGCTTGAACGGACAAAAGGCTTTCGAGAGGTCCACTTGATGCCTATAGAAACTCCCTTCTTTATGCACTTACAGTCAATTGTTAGAGAATCAAGCAGTTTACGAAGCATTCTAGTGCTACCACTTATGACAACAAAACACAGACTTCACGAGAAAACTTCACTTCCAGTAAACGTTCCTAGACTTATTCGACGTTGTAAATGAAAAACAAAGTTTGATATTTTCTGTTTTATTACTGTGATGAAAGTTTTTATAGGGTTAAATAACAAAATGTTTTATGATAAAAGATAAACACTGAACGAAGCTATGCGGCCGCTCTTTTAGGCACGCCAGCGACGGAGGAGCGAGGAATATTTTATGCTTATATTTATACTGTGTACACTTTTGGGCTTAATTGAAATAAAACATTTAGGTCAATATTCGCAATGAAAGTTTTTCTAATTATTTTTTCATTTGTTTAATCTCAACGTACGTAAAACGCAACCAAACTCGTCTAAAAATAAAAAGGTAAACAAAACCAAACGAGCAGATGACTAGACACATTTACACAAATCCTGCGCCACTCCATATGATACTCAAAATATAATGAGACTCATCTATTTAACGGACAGATGTCCCAAAATTACAAAGACCAGTTTAGACGCAGTCCGCACATATTTTTCTTGTTCCACTTTCGTAGTCCTCATACATCTCGACGATTTAACAACCCATACTCTTTGGGTCCAGTCATTGTTATTCACGTTTCGCAGATGCCCATCAGTTGGATGACGTCACACCCGTCCTTACACGGCATACGTAATTTCGCTTACGAACCTTCCCATTTAACAAACGTATATTTCACGTTTAGATAAACACATTTGGAAGTTCATAATGACGCCCCACTCATTTCAGCTTAACAGCTCTCTGGAGATTTTCAACCTTTTTTTCCGTTGATACATTTTTATGGTCCACACCTTTCGCGGCTTGTTTGATTAATTTTTTTGTTATGAGGTCAAATGGTTTTTAATTTTGAAGAGTTATGGTTATCAAAGTTTAAAATATTGTTCTATCTTGTGGACCTTTTTAACAATGCTGGATGAGCAGCGATTTGCTTTAATATGAAAAACAACACTCATAATTGGTGTGTACTTTGAATCAATTTCTCTTTTCTTTTCTATTGTAGGTTTATAGGTGTCATATCATTCTCGTCTTTACTAATTTCAAACTTTTTAATAGCAGCACAATTTACAAAGATGACGTTCCTTTAAATGTTCAACACTAATTTCACAAACTGCTAGAATACCCGTTTCGAATCTTGTAACAAATAGCAAACTATCAAACGGAATTTTAGTACTCATCGGTTGTAATCCTAGAACGGTGTAAGTTGTAATGTTCCTCTTAATTGCAACATCCTCAATGACTAGTTGAATCTGGGCAATTTGCCGCTACAGTAGTCTGTAATTACAGTCGGCTCCTCAAAGACTTATGCCGTCAAATTAGAAATCCCCTTTTCGATACCCGGATGATGATTGCTTGTGTTTCGTTTGGGAACTAGTGAAAGCAAAGGTTTTGTTTTTCTTTACGCTGTTATTTTTGGAAGCTTATTTGAGTGGTTGGTTGTCTTTGACTTTTCTATTTCAACATTCTTAGCAACAAAGTAAAATCAGAAATTATTGCTTTTTAAAAACACATTATTAATCAAAAAGTAAACGAGAACAGTAACATTGAAAACCCTTTCACTCTTCAAAAGAAGAATAACGAAGAACAAATTTACGTAGCGGCGCCGACAAACTAAAACTTTGTCATTAAATACCATTTAATCTATTAAGTGTAGCATTAAAGATAAATCTGAGATCCTGAGAAACTTGGAGAACAAACAAATCGGTCAGCTGAAGGAGTTTATCTTTCTGTAACAGAATTCTTAGAGGAAACCTCATTCAGTATAGCAACTGACCGTAACGTGTTTCGGTCTAGACAATAAGATTCTTCACAAAGACTGAAATTAAATCCTTTGTCCATTCCAAAGTCTTCTTGACTTTACAAATAGAGGTTTTTATTAAAACATTTGCTGTTGTAAATCTTAGGGTTAGCTTTAGAGCTAGTTTTGTACGTGATTCATACGTTCGAGTTTTAAAAATATTATTTTTGCTTCAAACTGTTTGTTTATTCTCATCACGCATACAGTTTGTATATTTGTATAATAACTACAATACATATATAATACAATATAATTTAAGCCTCGATTTAATGCCAAATTATATTTTTATTCCAGTATTTTTATTCATTATGCGCCAAAATGTGTATTAAAATACAATCAAGTAATATTAATGTTGGAACAATGGTTGCTTACTTCCGAATAACCCAATATTTGATTGTTAAACAGTCTTAATAAAATTTAGGGCGAAATAATAGGCGAGGATTCTACTTTATCACATTTATTGCTAAAGAATTACTGATTCATTTTGTTTTCTTCATAGTTTTCACACATTAGTTCATTTTTTTGCTGAACGTGATTATTTCATACATTTTGTTTTTGTCTGTATATTTCACAAATACTAACATTCTTATTCCAGCATTTGTAACGTCTACTCATTTATAACATGTACGTATGTAGTAATAACTATTATAATTATTAATTATTTGAACTAAATAACACTATTTGTTACAGATATCTTCTTCAACATCACGCTAAGAAGGAAAACCTTATTCTACACCGTCAACCTGATCGTACCATGCGTCGGCATCTCATACCTCTCAGTCCTTGTCTTCTATCTACCTGCTGACTCCGGAGAGAAAATTGCACTGAGCATTTCCATATTATTGTCCCAAACTATGTTTTTCTTGCTAATTTCCGAAATTATACCTTCGACATCACTTGCATTACCATTGCTGGGAAAGTACCTACTATTCACTATGTTGTTAGTAGGATTGTCAGTAGTGATAACCATTATAATACTCAACGTGCACTATCGGAAACCAAGTACGCATAAGATGGCTCCATGGGTTCGAAAATTCTTTATAACAAAACTTCCGAAGTTACTACTGATGAGGGTACCAAAAGACTTGCTTAGAGACTTGGCAGCGCAGAAGATAGCTGGGAGAAGTATGAAGAACAAGAATAAGTTTAAAGATGCTCTTGCAGCGGCTGAACAGACGAATTCCAATGCATCAAGTCCTGATTCCCTTCGTCATCATTTGCCTGGAGGATGTAATGGACTACATTCTACTACCGCTACCAACAGGTTAGAAAAAATGTTGGTCAATATCTGTGACTCTCTAATTCTTCTATTAAATAGGTTTGCTAAACAAAATCTAAATTTAATAGGTTCAGCGGTCTCGTGGGTGCTCTTGGCAGTCTCGGTGCTGGTTACAATGGCCTACCATCAGTCATGTCGGGTCTGGATGACTCTTTAAGCGATGTAGCTCCTCGGAAGAAGTACCCATTCGAACTGGAGAAGGCAATCCATAACGTCATGTTTATACAACACCACATGCAGAGACAGGATGAGTTTAATGCTGTAAGTATTCTTACAAAAACACAGTTTCCGTCATACTCACTCGATACTTGACAATTACTTGATCCAAATCCATCTTTTGTCAAACAGGAAGATCAAGACTGGGGCTTCGTGGCTATGGTACTGGACCGTCTGTTTTTATGGATCTTCACTATCGCTTCCATAGTTGGCACCTTTGCTATCCTCTGTGAAGCACCATCTCTGTACGATGACACCAAACCTATTGACATGATGCTCTCATCCGTAGCCCAGCAGCAATTCTTACCTGTGGACAGTGGGGATTCATAGGTATATTCATAAAAGAAAGTTGATGTCCATGTGACATCACTGATTTAGACGCGTGAGATTATACAAGCTCAAGGAGTGTTGAGATGGTTATAATCAATGGTTGTTTTGACAGAATTTTTCTTAAACATTGTTGATAGTTTAAGTAGTTTTTATTGATACAGCAGTACTATGTCTGCCTTCTTGTTCATTAAAAGTTTTAATATACCGAAAACGTTCATTTGAACAATCTAGATTTCTAGAATCATTATGATCTTGTTGTATTCTTTAGAACTAAGCTTGTTTTCAAAATCTAATATTTAAAATTATTAAGGTCTGAAACTTCAAAGCTCCTGAAATTGCCAAGATAGGTCGGTCGACAATCTATCAAACAAATTAGTACTAAAATAAGACTTTTCCTCTTAAACATTAATTATCTTAATTAGACGTTGTAAAGCCAAAATAGGCTGTGAATTGTATCGTAACATAATGTAAGTAAGTTAAGGTTTCAAGTAAAAAGTTAGTGTTTAAGTTGGATGAAGTAGGAGGGTAATAAATTGTTCTTTCCCTCAGTTTGATACGGTACACTAATAAATTATTGTCTTATCTTATTTTTCTCGCTTTTAGATAACATTTTAAAAGAGTAAGGGACGGTAAATGAAGATGTTGAATCGATAGACGTTGGCGATTCTGAATTATTCATAAGAGAAGTTATATTGGTTTTCGATTTTTCCCAGAATATTTTTTCGGTCTATTAGTGGGGAAGAATCTTGTATTTACTCACACAATTGTATCTTCTGCGTAATCTTGGATTAAGCTAATCGAATTTAGACGAGAAACTTTTTCACTACTTGTAAGGTAAATCTCATACATGATAGAAGAAAATATGTTGATGGATATGAAACAATTGTATTAACTTTCGAATGCATAAGTACTCCTATTGAATATTAAGGTCCCAAAACTGAACCTTGTGGGACACCACTTCAAAATGTTTATAGAAAGACTTTTGTAAAGTGCTTGGTTGCCAAAGTGGGTTATAAAGGTGGGGTAAAACCATACGTTTTGGACGTAACATTTTCTTTGACAAAACATGGCTGTGTTAGTAATTAATAAAATATTGTAGTAATGAGGAATCATAATGCTCACCATTTATAGGATTAGATATTAATGACGTATATACACATTACGATTTTTTATGTATTATTATTATCGTGTTATTCAATTTTTAGTACAATTATTCATGTTATAGAATTTAAATTAAATCGAAAGCCATGATTCTATGTAGCTCAGTCGTAGCCAAATATATCAATTTTAATTTTTTTTTATCTTGTAATAGCAATAGACTAATAACTATTAATCTATCATATCTTTAAATGCCTGCTTAAACAACATAATTAATATTTTATGGCAACATATAAGATAATAGTCAAACAATAGTACATGCCAAAATAGACTTTTAACTTTGTTATTAAAATATGAAACATTTCCTTTATTGTCAGATTATAACTTCAAACCTCATTTTGAAACAACGTTATAGTTTCTAATAACGTAAAACAAAAGTATGTCATAGAGCTTTAAAGAATTTGAAATATAAACAGCAATTTTGTGACGATAGATGGTAATAAAGATAAGTTTATTAAATTGTGCTTGATCAAACTGTTAGAGTCCGCAGAAACCATTAACCATTTTGCCAAAATAAACAGAGTAGTAAAATTAGTTATATACATAAGTAAACTCATACATATAAGTTTAGTTTAACCGACTTTGTAGCAGTTAGTGTTATCCAAACCATGTTTATAAAGTAAACTTTGACTTAATAAATTGGCGACGTATGTTTTTATTTGTTTTCATTTATCTTCTGTTAACCCTTTGAGTACCGTCATTATAGACACACTTAAAGAATAATAGGTTGCAGTCACCGGTGTCCTCGCGGTGTTTGACAGTTTAAAATCTTTGTCAAGTTTAACCCTCATAATTTTTGTCTTGTAGATATATTTATTACATACATGCAACATAACGCCTCGTTGACCGAGTGGTCGTAAGTGCGACTGCCGGACAACGGGTCTCGGGATTTTTAAATAAATCTCAGTAATAGCACGGAATCTGGAATTGTGCCTGGTATACGGCAATAGGCTCACATATACACATATTATATGGGACTCATAACATAAATAGTGAAAAGTGGGTGTTATATTGTACAGTGGCATTAAGTGCCGTAATGTGCACCTCTGCCTTTGAGGATAAAAGGCGTGATGTTATGTTGCAACATAACGCCTTGTACTTCGAAAGGATTGATGGACTCACTAACTTTTAATCCGTAAAGGGGAAAACAGAGATGCTTAAACAATGTAACATCCACTTTCCATAAATTAATATGTTGTCAGTCCCTTGTAATGCAGCGTATATAATGAAATAGCCGATTCTATTACTACATTTTTTTTAACAAACGAAAAAACCCTAAAATGTCGAACCAGAGCCGAGCAAGACACGCTCGGCTCCCCGTATCAACTTGAATTCTCAATATAAAGTAGTAACTTCAAGGATAATTAAAAAAAACTTAAGGCTTTCTTATTTCTTTGTGTGTTTTATTACACAACACATTTACTAACTGACGACTGTACGACGACTGCGTCGTTGGCCGAGTGGTCGCAAGTGCGACTGCCAGGCAAGGGGTCTTGGGTTCGATTCCCGGGCCGGGCAAAGTATTACTGGGTTTTAAAAAATTTTTCATTAGTAGCACGGAGTCTAGTATTGTGCCCGGTATATGGCAATAGGCTCAACCCTATTACATGGGACTCAACATAAATAGTGTAAAGTGGGTATAACATCGTACAGTGGCATAATGACCACCTCTGCCTACCCCTTCGGGAATAAAAGGCGTGATGTTATGTTATGTTTATTAAAAATACATTTACTTTACTTCTTTTACCCTTTCAAGACAAGACGAATAAATTGTGAAAGTTCATTCAAAATCAACTATACATCTACAACGATGTACTTATATGAAAATTCTGTCTAGCTGTTTGTAGAAAATATCTGAAATTCTGAAACTGGTATTTGCTGTATGCTAATAACTACGATAGATCATGTCTGGCGCGAAGCGGAACCCATCGCTATGGTATGGTGTTATATAGAAATACATCCATTTTGTTTGTTGTCTAGAATATTAAAGTGTATAAATAGCACTAATATGAATGGTCACAAGGAGATTGGCGGTGAGATGTATCGGAATGGAATCGTCGGTTGTGGGGTCTATTACATGAAGTGTACTTTAATTAGGTATAACATAATGTCTCACGCCAATCCCAAAAGAAGAAGAAGAGAAAGAAGTAGCCAGAGGTAAACGTATGCGATATAGCTCTTTCTTTTTTTTATGGAATAGGAGGCAAACGAGTAGACGGATCACCTGATGGTAAGCGATCAGCGCCCCCCATGGACACCCGCACCACCAGAGGAGTACAGGTGCGTTGCCGACCTTTACCCCAGTTATGTAATAATTACCGTGTAGCAAGCCTGTCATGGTCAACTCAAGCTCATCATCATCAAGGATTAACAGGTTGCATCTAACAGGATCTTTAACTTACCCATTAAAAGAGCACAAACTGGACATCACAACAACTTTAAACAAAATCAATACACTCAACTGCTATTTCTATTTATTCCCGAACCCTTACAGCGATCCAACTAAAAATACTAACAAATTCTGGTTCGCATTCGAAACTAGGAAATTTTCATCGAATTTTTCCACTCCGTCGACATTAGCCGCCGAGTTTAGCAGATATTTACTCTTTCCTGAATTATTCATTGGCACTGACCGATCACCGTTCGATTCCGGCTCGCTCCGGCTTCCGAATAAGTAATTTAGCAATTCAATTAGCTACGAGTTTTATAAAAGTCTTCAGGATTACATCTTTGAAAATGTTCTTACATTGAACTGCGTTTATCTGGTTGTGAAATTTACATAAGGTGGTGTCAAGGGTACCTAAGGTATTCTTTGATAGTTTCTTTATCACGGAAATAGCTGAAGACAACACCGTTAAGTCGTTTGTAACATTACTCGGTCCTTCTAGAAGGTGTAGGAGGGGAAGGAACTCACTTATTCACATTTTAAATACAAGTTAAATACATAGTTACTTATTTGGCTTTACCTACCTACACATATTACCTTATCATTCATCCATTCTAACAAAAATTTATCGAAAAATGTAAAGAAATTTGATCAGCCAGAGTGCTTTTCCTCATAACACTGAAATTAAAACTATAACCTTAGATTATCTGTTATTACAGTACTTTCAATATAACGACTAGTTTTCAGGGCAGGGCCGTTATTAGGTTATTGACATCGACTACTGTTTTACTTTCTGCAGTCTTAGTACACAACTAATGTTTGTTATTTCTATAACAATAAGTTGATATTACACTAATTATTCATAAAAACTCACTTAAGCCTTTCTTCTTATGTTAAAAGAAATTAAGTCAGATATTAACTCGTCGAGTACCGGTTTTATAGACACAATTAAAGAACAATGGGTCGCGGTCACCGGTGACCGCTTGGTGTTTGACAGTTTAAAATGTAACAAAAAAAAATCTCCACACAAACCCTAATCATTATCAATCCCAAAGGGCTGACGCTTCCAAAGCGTTCCTACGTACGAAATCTAAACAGAAATATTTTTCAATGTCAGCCCCGTCAGAAGCAGTGGTGATTAAAAACACGACGCCTCGGCTCTGCGTTCCTGGTACATGTGACTGGCTACGTTCCAAACTGACACTAACTTGGCTTCATGGTTTTTGTACATTCCCTATTAGTATTTTAATTCAAATGGCTTTGTTAACGGTCTACGTAATCTTGTTAGATAGAAATGGACTCTCTTATCAGATTTGGAAGGGTAAAGGAAAATGCGAGAAGAATCTGGAATATACTTATCAAAGATGGGAAAATCTATAAGAAGCAGTTATTATTGGGGTCAGTTTTCCTTATCGAAAATAATAGAAAGTGTTTTTGTAAGTAATAAAAATATTTC